GTAGGTCAATTCTCAGGTCTCAACACCACTTGGAAATATTCAGACTGTTGGTCTCGTCAGAGTAGCTGACAGTCCACAGCTCTGACTGTCTCTGTACTCACTTTTTCGTTCAGGTTTTTCCACTAGTTGGTGCCTTTTCCACTTCTGTATAGTTCCTTTCAAAGCTCAGGGTGCCAGGATTATCTTCTGTATCTCTGTCAATTGGTTTTTCTTTTCTTTTTTGAAGAGGGTTTGTGTGGCTTGTTTGCCTATTCCTCCATCTTACCGGAAGTCTCCTACATTGCCCTTCTCTTCACCCAAATCAATACTTATCTCTATCTATCTAAAACACTGTTCCCTCCTCTTCCCTCCCACCCCTGGTAACCAACAAAGAAAATTTCCTTCCATAGATAAACTTTTCCTTGACTTTTACAATAATGGACTAATACAATATTTGTCCTTCTGTGGTTCACTTATTTCACTCAGCATAATATCCTCCAAGTTCATCCATGTTATGCGGTGTTTTGCAGATTCTATGTTATTTTTAGGGTTGCACAGTATTTCATTGTGAAAACACAGGTCTTTTGTAAAACTGAAGTGGCATAAAGCCAACCTTTAAAAAGCAGAGAATACCTGTATATTTCCCCACAATTCAAAAAAGCATCATTTCATGAGTTATTCTAACCACTATACTAATCTCATCCTCAAATGGCCTGACTTTTCCAAACACGAAAAATGGATGAAGTGCATGTAAAAACTAGACCTTCTATCAATCAAGCAGTCATAGGCCTACTGTTTCAGCCACCAGAGACCTTTTGTGTATGGTCACTCTCCAAAGACACCTGGGGACTGCTCAACTGAGCTGGAGGAAACGGTCGGGAGCTACACAAGGACCAACACTTGTGCACACAGTCACAGGGGTGTCCAGTTCTCTCCACCTCCCCCACACTGATCTCCATGAGGTCAGGCACCTTCCATATCTTTAGGTACAATTCCAGGTGGAACACTGGGACCTAGGGCAGCAGGCTAGCTTCTATTAAGCATTCTGCAAAGTCCCTTCTCCTACAGAAAAATGACCCTGTTTGAAACATACCCACAGGAGACAATCCCCCCACCTTGAGCCCATTTTACATTCAGAACCAGTCAGATTTCCAGCACCCACCTGGAGCCCTGTTCTAGGGGCAGTGGCTGACACCTGTATGCCCTCCTCTGGAACCTCCTCAAAGAGGTGTCACCCACCTTTCAAAACCTTCTTCTTCTACAAAATCCTTAAAGATCCCACAGTACAAGCCACTACTGGCAGCTCACGGCCACCAACGTTAAAACCCTCGTTTCAGGGACAAGCCACCCGCACCCAGTAACAGCAAGAGCACTTCAACCTCCTGACACAGTGGCGAGTGCTGTCAGTGGACAGAAACATCCCCCAGGCAATCAGAACCACCAGGACCATCCACTCAAGTACCCGGAAGCCAAGTCATGACACCAGAGTCGCCTGGTCCCCAACCACAGGTTGGCCATGTGGCACCTAGGATCTGTGTGTCATGCCAGGTCAGAAGGGAAGAAGAAGTACTTCCTCGTTCCCAAGTCCAGGGTGGAGAATGGGAAGGGCATCAAGGAGCCCCGACACACCTGCAGGATGAAGCGCTGCTTATACGTATACTCGCGGTCCAGGGCTGGTTGCCGAGAACCCACATGCATATTGAACTGTGAGATGCGAACCTTCAGCTCTTCATATAATTCAGCCACCTACAGAAGCAAAGAATACCAGAAAGATGTTTACTTGTGTTTTATTGACTATGCAAAGGCATTCGATCATAACAAATTATGGATAATACTGAGAAGAATGGGAATTCAGAACACTTGATTGTGCTCATGAGGAACCTGTACATAGACCAGGAGGCTGTTGTTCAAACAGAACAAGGGGATACTGCATGGTTTAAAATCAGGAAGGGTGTGTGTCAGGGCTGTATCCTTTCACCATACTTATTCAATCTGTATGCCAAACAAATAATCCAAGAAGCTAGACTATATGAAGAAGAACATAGCATCAGGATTAGAGGAAGACTCATTCACAACCTGCAATATGCAGATGACACAACCCTCCTTGTTGAAAAAGAAGATGACTTGACCTTCAGGTCTGGAATTGAACCCACACCTGTGGTTTCCAGCCAAACAAAGTACAGGCATGTGAGTTAAACATTTACCTCAAGTAGACACATGCCCTCAAGAGAACAATCATGGGAGAAGGAAGGGCTGCTTATGCACAGGGAGACAGCTCAGGGGGCAGGAGAGTAGGGAGGGATGGACACTAGGAAGAGGAAACTATGGGGAGGAAGTTGGAGGGGAGCTGTTGCATTGTGGTAAACTGTGGTCAATGACATGAGACAAAGTATATGTGAAATGCTGTATGGAAAGTGAATTTGCTCTGTAAATCTTCACCCAAATCACAATAAATAAATAAACAAATAAATAAAATTAAAAAAAAAAAAAAGAAGATGACTTGACACACGTACTGATAAAGGTCAAAAACTATAATCTGCAGTATAGATTACACCTCGACACAAAGAAAACAAAAATCCTCACAAATGGACCAATAAGCAGCATTACAGTAAATGAAGAAAAGACTGAGTTGTCAGGGATTTCATTTTATTTGGATCTAAAATCAACACTCATGGAAGCAGCAGTCAAGAAATCAGAGGTCATAGTGCACTGGGCAAGACTGCTGCAATAGACCTCTCTCAAAGTGTTGAAGAGCAAAGACATCTCTCTGAAGACTAAGGTGTGCCTAACCCAAGCCTTGGTATTTTCAATCGCCTCATATGTATGTGAGAGCTGGATAATGAATAAAGAAGACTGAAGGAGACTGGATGCCTTTGAGTTGTGGTGTTGGCGAGGAATACTGAAAGTACCATGAACTGTCAGAAGAACTAACAAATCTGTCCTGGAAGAAGTGCAGCCGGAATGCACCTTGGAAGAGAGAATGGCCAGACTTCTCTCACCTACTTTGGTCATGTTGTCAGAAGGGACCAGTCCCTGGAGAAGGGTACTGCGCTTGGTGAAGTGGAGGGTCAGGGAAGAAGGGGAAGGCCCTCAACGAGATGAACTGACATTGCAGCTGCAACAAGTAAATCGAGGGCTGGGAGCACGGTTCAAGAACAGTGTTTCCTTCTGTTGCACAGGAGGCTGTTATGAACTGGAATCTACTTGACAGCACATAATGGCAACCACCACCACTCTAGGTAGATACCACTAACCCTTGTTAAATACCGCTAACCCTAGACAGATACTTTAACCCGGTAATGTAGTGCGATAGGTGCACTATCTGCAGACAAACAGATACTTGCATGAAAAAGGAGACCTCATCAAGAATGACTCTGCAAGAATCAGAAACCAGAGTGGCCCCCAGACCAACAGAGAAAATGAAGATTACCTGATAAATTCTAGCCTCAAAGCACACACAGGTCCTTCCAGATATTTCCAGTTGTCCCCGGCCACAGAGATATCCCACAGACTGTACAGCCTTGCCACACTATCACGGGAGCACAACACACTTGCATACACATGTATACACTGACTCTCCAAACCCATCTTACTCAATACAGTTGCAAGCATCCAGAGGGAAATGCCGGCCCAGTATCCAGCCATGTTTTGAAAGTAAACATGATCCAGTGGGTTCACTGCGAGAACACTGGCCACACCAACACGAGGAGAGCCTGACACACTCTATGGTGTCAACAGGTGGGAAACAGAGGGCCTTGCACCTATCTTGATGGATACTGAAAAGATGGTTGACAAAACTATGTGTCTGTTCCTCATTAAACTCTGCATGGAAGAAAAAACGTTCTCAAAACTTGAAAGCATACCTTAAAACCCTGGCGGGTATGGTATTTAAAGGGAAACAACGGAACAGGGCAGAATTCTGGGAATACCCACTGGCACCCTGGGTGTCCCCAAACCCCAATGAACATCTGATGAGTCGTCTGTTTGCATCATTTTGTCAAAGAACTTCCAACTCACCTCTCTGATTCTCTTGATTTGAATGTAGTTTAACCGTCCCCACTCAAGTTCATCCTTGAAATACATAAAAGCCAAATAATTAACGTAACCAGGAAGAAGTCAGAGGGCAACTATAATACATCTGTCTTGTGCAAGAGTCTGATGCAGACAGCCATCCTCCCTGAGCTCACAGGGCGCCCCTGGGGCTCCTGCTCTCACTTGGAAAGCAGAAGCATGAGCCCAACCACCAAGCTGCACAAGATGCTGCTCATGGGCTCCCGCCGGCCACTGGAAGGACACGTGCTTGGTCATCTCGGGAAGAGATGTCTGACGGAACGCACATCAAGAACAAAAAAAATACAGCTGGCTCTTTAAAAGGCGGCTGTACAAGCTAATGCACACTGTGGCTGGCAGACACACAACCAGATGCTGCCAAACTGAACACCAGATTAGCAACAGTCTTGTGGATCCAATAGTTTACAAGGCTAGTTCTGCAATAATTTCCATAAAACTACAAACGGCAACAAAACCTGACCCAAAAGAGGTAAAATAGGGGTCAGTGGCTTCAATTTATTTCAAGTCCACTGTCTAAAACTTCACTAAAAATAATCCAAGAAAAGGATTTGGCATCTTCATTGTGAAGCAGAACGTTCCATCAGGTGCCCGCAGGCACAAGCCCTCAGAGCCCCGAAGGCTGCTGATCTTCACAGAGGAACACAGCTGTGGAGCTGGAAAGCCAGCAGCCCACCACAGTGGCAGCTCAGGGTCAGCTACCCTCAGAGCTCACAGAGCAAAGGTGACAGGTTCAAGGCAACCTGTCAAACAACCAGCCCGTGAGCCACACATGACCTCTGCTCAACAGGGACCAAGAACCAGCCCATGTACCACACAGCCTCTGCCCTGATGGGGACCAAGGACCACCCCGTGCACCACATGGCCTCTGCTCTGATAGGGACCAGCAGTCTCAGCTCAGGCCTGGCTGTCCCGCTTCCCAGGCAGGGGTCGAGGTGAGACCACAATCCTGGGGCATCTGGTACCTCACTGCATGTGCAGGGACACACAGGAAGCAGGAACCAACCTTGGGGTGCCGCAGCTCTCCTCTCTGCCTGCAGGCCTGCCAAGTCTGAACAGAAAGACCCAAGGTCAAAAATCCCGCACAGGCTAAGTGAATTACTAAAAATATGTAGATGAGTAAGTATCATTGCAACACATGGGGGCAAACCACAGGAAATTTACAAATTAAATGTTGTGGTCAGCTTCCAAGAACAGGACGCACCACCACCCCGCCACGTCCTCTGACAGTTTACGTCAGGCTGGGCGTCGTAACTCAGCAATACTTCTGACAGTGAACCAGTCCCTGGCTCTGTGCAGAGGCACACAGCAAGGAGACACACTCACAGCCTATGGGGCCGCTGTCATAGACACTCACTTTGAATGCCTCAACAAGCGCGATGCAGTCACTTTTACTGTCACCTGCGAAGTTCATCTTATTCCTATGGAGAGATAACAGAAGTGTCACCTGGGATCACTGTAACACAGTGACATCTTAGAGCACAAGCATTAGGTACCTGTATCCATCAAGGTGCTGTCTAAAGGGCATCACGAAAAAGCTCTTCAAGGAAAGCGCAGCCGCTGACGAGAGAACAGAGGAGGCGTGGCTGTGAGCACCGCCTGCAACACCTCCCGGCAGCTGGTCGCCCAGCACTCACCAATGATGAGACAGTCGTCTAGACAGCCAAACACGTGGCCAAGGACGATGAGTTTGCCAAGCTGCTGGTTCACAGGAAGCTGGGCCAACACCCTTCCCAGGAAGGTCAGCTCACCGTCGTGGGGGTTCTCGTCCTCCCCCTGACCACTGACGGCCAGGGCCCCGACCTTGAGGAGACAAGCAAATGTGCTGCACGTGCTGGCCACTCAGATGCCCGCTTACATACGTGCAGGCCCCTCATACGCCTGCCCACAAGTACATGGCCCACTCACATGTACAGGCTACTCATAGGCCCACTCACAGGTCTGCTCACACACATGCAGGCCATTCACACACCTACACACGTATATGGCCACTTATGCACACAGGCCGTTCACACATCTGCTCACAAGCACGTGGCCCACTCACACAACCACTCACATGCACATAGCCCACTCACACATACCCAGCCCACTCATACACCTGTGAGCTGCTGGCACGCAGGCCACTCACAGGCCAACTCACATACCTGCTCACATGCATGCGGGGCCACTCACACATCAGGCTCACTGGGACTGGTTCATTTGCTCTCAAGGGGGCAGGGCAGGCCTGGGCCCACTCACACTTGTTTCTTTTTAAGGAGACAGAGTTTTAAAACAGGAAATAGTCATATTTTGGAGAATAAAGTTTTAAAAGGCATCTAAGTCAATTTATGAATGGTCGATGCTACCAAAAAATATTTTTAATTTGCACTTTGAAACCCAGAATGTATTTTACTATTTTTTTAAAGTACAATAATGGATACTCCCACAAAATCTTAACTCACAACCTAACCAATACAGCACACACAGTCCTACAGGAAGAATCCAACAGCCACATGATGGTGGTTGCACACAATAAAAACGTGTTAAACAATGTATGTCAAAAATGTCCTCAACTGAACATGTATGTCACAGAAACCAAGCAGGAGCCACACCTAAAGGTCAAACACTAGAGATGCTCTGACCTTGAGGCCAGAAGCAGAATATCCCAGTCTCAAGCAGCAGTGTACCCAAGGCACACCCAAGGGGCGCTGACTGTAGAGCTGGCATCCGTGCAGGGTCAGTGAACCCAGAGGAGCAAGACCAGGCCTCCACCATTGGAAGACGACTGAGGAAGGGTAAGGGGCAGAACTCGAGGAAGCAAGAGGACTTGGAGCCCCAGCTCCATGCCACCCATCACCATGAGTACATCTCAACACACAGCATGCCAGGTGGGAGTGGACGGGAGAAGCAGAGAGCCAGCAGAGGCTGTGGATGCCAACAAGACAACCAACAACGGTGGTCCAAGGAACAAGTCAGACCACGAGAAAACCTCTAGAGCTAAGGCAGGAATTTCTCAAAGTCATAAGGTATAAGGTCAACAAACAAAAATCAGATGGGTTTCCATCCACCAGCAATGAGAAATCTGAAAGGGAGATTAGGGGAACAATTCCATTGACAACAGCATCTACACGGAGAAAACACCCAGAACACAGCTAACCAGGGTTGTGAAGGACTTAAGATGATGGGAAGTATGAAACACTTCTGAAAGAGATCAAAGACGACTGAAATGAATGGACAGGTGTTCCATTTTCATGGACTGGAGGACTTCATATTAAGATGTTAATACCATCTCAAGTGTTCTACAGAGTCAATGTAATCCTGATCAAAATGCCAACAGCCTTCTTTACAGAAATGGAAAAATTAATCTTATAGAGAACTTTATATGGAATGGTAAGATGCCTCAAATAGCTAAAATAATGTTGAAAGAGAAGAACAAAGTAGGAGGATTCACATTTCCTGGTTTTACAGCCTACTATACAGCTACAGGAATCAAAACTACCAGGACTGGTATAGTAACAGACACACGGATCAATAGGACAAAACGGGAGTCCAGAGATAAACACACACTTTCGCGGTCACTTGATTTCTGACAAGGGTGCTAAGCCCATTTGATGTGGAAGGAGGAGTCTCGTTAGCAAATGGTGCTGAGAGAAGTGGATTTCCACATGCAGGAAAATGAAACAGGATCCATGCTTCACACCACACACAGAAACAAATTCAAAATGGATTAAGGACCTAAATGTACAAACTAAGACCAATAAAATTCTTAATGAGCAAGCAGGGCCAATGCTGTCAGGACCAGCTTTCCACAATCGGATATCTAATATAACAACAAACACACAAACAGCAACAGACAACATAAATAAATGGAACCTCTAAAAACCAAAAACTTTTCTTCATCAAAAGACTTCACCAAAAAAATGAAAAGACAAGCTACCAACTGGCAGAATATCTTGAGAACCCAGGTATCTGACAAGAACCTAATAACGAAAATGTATCTACAACTTTGACAACTTAACAACAAAAAGACACAAAAAACAATCATACAATGGGCAAATGGACTGAATGAATAAACCTTTCACCAAAGAGGACATTCAAATGGCCACCAAACACATGATGAGATGGTGAGTGCCATTAGACATCAGAGAGGTGCAGATCAAGCCACAATGAGATACCATGTCATTCCCACTAGGATGGGTAACATATTTTTAAAAAGGACAGAAAATAACAAGTATTAGTGAGGATGTAGGGAAAGTGGACCCCTTGTCCCTTGCTCCACCACTCCTTTGTCAGTTTGTTGTACTGTGGTGGCTGCGTGTTACTGTGAGACTGGAGGCTATGCCACCAGTATTTCAGATACCAGCACGGTCACACATGGTAGACAGGTTTCAGAGAACTTCCAAATGAATTAAAAGGATGGGGCCATCTACATCTGAAAACACTGGCCACTGAAAACCTCAGGAAGAGCAGTGAGACAATGTCAGCTATCTTACTGGAAAACTTTATGAACAGCCCTGAAACATTACCCAATATAGTGCCAGAGGATGAGCCCCTCAGGTTGCAAGGCACTCAAAATACAACTGGGAAGAGCTGCCTCCCCAAAGTGGGGTTGGCCTTAATGACATGAAAAGAGTGAAGCTTGCAGGACGGCCGTTTGCTGATGGGGCACAATACAAAATGGGAAGAAGCAGCTGTAATCATCCATCAATAATTAGAACATGGAAGGTACCAAGTATGAATCGAGGAAAATTGGAAGTCGTCAAAAATGAAATGGAATGGATAAAAATCAGTATCTGAGGCATTAGTGAGCTGAAATGAACTGGTACTGGCCATTGTGAATCAGAC